TTATCCCTATCAATCTGTTCAAGGGGTGGATTTGAGGGTACTGTAAATTGATAATGAGTAGAATCGCAGGAAATACAATGAGATATTTCATGAGGCTGAGCTGTAAATTTAACTTACTTGGATAATGATGATGATTATCTTCTGATAATAGAAATTCTACCGACAGGTGGGAGGAAATGATTGGGATAAGGACAGAAATTCGGTCCAGACAGCTTTGACTTTCTTCGGGAACTGAAGTCAACTTCTTGTCTGGCTGTACCTTTTCTCTAGCTCACCATGCAAAGATTGCCTTTGCTTTGTCAGGGAATTTTAACTCTTCCTTTTCTAATCACTAAAATCCAGAAAAGATGAAACCTTTAAATAAAATTTTTAAATAACTTTGAGAGAAGAAAACAAACTGGGTTGATGAAAGAAAAATTTTTTTTCCTGAGTTTTGTTTCTGCTTTCTGCCAATTTGTCCTTTTTGTTTTGACTTTTGAATTAATATTAATGAAAAGAAGGAAAGGAAGATGCATTTTTAGTACATTTTTGGGTTGAAGAAATCCAGGTGAAGCTCCTTGCTAGATCTAACGCAATCTAAGCTACATCTTCGAGATTTTGGGAAACGGAAGCCTGCTTTCGAAGTAGGGAAAAGGTCCTTGTGTGGTTAGCAAAATGCGGCAAATCTATCCTCAAAGCAAGCAAAATGGGCAGATTTATATCCAAACAAGAAATGAGACCAAAAATTTTTTTTTGGATAAGTTATCAAGTGGCAGGCTTTCATAGGAGAGAAAAAATGCACCTCAAGCTGTCAGGTTGTCAATTGATCCGAAAGGTCAGGTGCAAGACCAAATTTATTTGTAAAGTTTTTAATCAAAATAAATCACTCATTATATTTAATGTGCAACATTATGTCATTTTATAAACTCCGTTGACTTATTATACAGTTGGCAATTTGTAATGCTTAGGTACTGACGTGGATAATTCTCTTTTTCTTTTTTCACTGTATAACCTACGAAATAAGTCTACTTATTACCTAAATACTCTTTCTCATTATTTTTTTAATTCTAAATTTATCTTAAATTATTTATTTTTTATTTTATACAGTAAATAAATATATATTTTTTACTTTAATGTTATCATTATTTATTTATTTTAATTAATTATCTAATTACAACAAATATTTCTTTTTTTTTCTCTTTTTAAATGTATTATAATAATATAAATATTGTTCTTAAATTTTTAATTTGAAAAAATAAAAATAAAAAATGGCTGATAATAGAGGAAGTAATAAAGAATGAAAAAGACACTAAAAAAAACATGTAATTCCTAAATCGACCTTCATCAAAATTTCTAAGAGTAAGCGTCGGAGATTAAAATAATCCAAACCCAAGGAATTGAAGCAACAGTATTAAGCAACAATATTGAGAGAACGCCCAAATTGGCAGGACCGAATTAAACAGATAAAAATAGACAAAAAAAAAAAATCAACGGAAAACGTTTCTTTGTTAGGAGTACTAAATAGATAAAAATCAACTAATTAAATTAAATAGAAAAATTCATCCATAGATGATGAAAAAATTAAAAAACTAAAATAAAATGTAAAAAATTAAAAAACTAAAATAAAATGTACTTATCGTCTTTCAACGATTGCTCAACCATTTTGTATGTCCTACCCCTTACACTTTGCAACTCCTGCAAATTTTGTTAAAAATTTTTCTCCTTTTCAACAATTAATTGAATAAATAGACAAAAAAAAGTTAAGAATCAAGATCGATTGAAT